GGGTATTTATCATTACCAATTCCCAGGAATTTCTTTTAACCCATTCCGTGAAATTTCTTGTAAACAATTCTGAGAAATTTCTCATAACCCTACCCAAAGAAATTCTGGTAACCAATGCCAAGAAATGTCTTGTCTCCAATTTCTATGTTAATCCCTGTGTGCCAGGTCCCTAACTTGAGCCCAAGAAGAATGCTCCATCAGCTCCTGAAGCAAACATTTGCTCAGCTGATAAATGTGATAAACCCCTTCTGCAATGTCAACTACTTGATATCCATCCACAACGCTACAATAGTCTAAAATATTCAAAAATCAAAAAAAAAATTGTCCACGTATCTGTAATCTGTAATCTGTAAACTGGATCCTATATCATCAAATAAATAAAAGAGGAGTACAACTCCCAAAAAACATTTAAAAATAAACTATGTCATCAAGTTTAGCATATCGATTTCCTGAAATGAAGATGATATGTAGATCTAAGATTGTAGATGATTGGAACTTAAAACGTGTTCCTATTTTACGTGCTCAGGCACGCTTGGATGCAAGCAAGCCAAAGATACAACATTTTTTGTCAAAATATTCCAGAGCCCACAATTTAAAAACTTCGGGAAAATACGGCACGGGTCTAAGCTGTTGTTGGGCCTTATTTACGACTTGAGCTTTCGGATTCAAGCTGCATCTCATTTTCCACAGAGTTGAGTTCAAAATATGTGTAATATTCTATTTGGCGGATTTTCATGGTAATGAGAATGGCGCATTCCGGGTTTTTATGAAAACAAGACTGAACATTGAGCCTTATTCTCCACTAAAACCAACCAAGGTCGGTTTTATTTTCATTGGGCCTAACTCCTTAAGTCGAGCGGAAGATCTTGCAGCTGTCAATCACATGACACAAACTGTTTTCAGAGTTGGGTTAAAGATTGGGTCTTAAAGTCGGGTTTAAGGAATTACGGCTAGTGCCAAAGTTTTTAAATTCAGGGCTCAGACAACCCTGTAGAAAAGAGGTTATTTTCCACAATTCTGTTGGATCTAAAAATATGTGTGCATAACTTTCCATACGGATGATATGCACGATTAACAATTTGTGACAGCACATTTATATCTTGAAAAGACAAATGTTAAAGCTGTAGTGTAAGCTTTGATCTCTACATATCCTATGTTAGGAGCGGAAGAAAAATTAAGTTGTCCAGTCCCGAACCACAAGTTTGCTGGATTAGAGATATCCAAGTCTACAGGAGTAGAATCCTGGCAAGCTTGTGCTGTTATTTGTCAAGCTGCTACCTCATGTGAGGTAAGTTTCAAGGCCTGTTAATTTCTTACAACTCCCCCCCCCCCTCCTAACAATTTTCTACATCAATCATATACATGAAAAAGGGGAGTTGCTGGATCTGTGGCCATGCACTTAATTTCGTTAGTGGGGGATTGTGCATTTGGCGTACTGTCTTGTTTTGCCTAATATTATCTGATTGTCATGTATGTGTATTGTACAGCCTGCTCTAGCAGGTTAAAAGTCGGCCCGGTACATGAAATTAACCAAAGTTTTCAGTGCACGGAACATGCAGGCCCTATGCCTGTTCTTACCTAACTTACCTCTACAATGATAACCAGAAAACAAAGGAATAAGATGACAACATAATAATAAGTGTATTTGATGTTGTTACAAAGGCACTAATTTAATCACTCACTTAGTGAAATTGGTCTGCTTACACTGCACTCATTACCCACACAAGATGAGACTGTAAAGACGACCCAAAACTCTAAAAATATGACTATTTAAAGCTTGATTTTGGTTGTTTACCAAATGATTAAGAAGAGAATAAAACCAGTTTTGGCTTACATTTGGAACCCTGAATGCAAGAAAACGGACTAAAAACATTCTGTGAAACCGTCTCTGAAGTATCCTTTCTTTGTGTGTAACCCGTAACTTGATTATTAAAGTCGTCTTCCTGTTTCATAGTTTTCTGATTATCACTGTAATAAGTATGATTATGATGCATATGTCTCCATACCTTACAGTCTATGTAACAAGGATCAACTCTTACATCTTTATAGAGGACGGCATTTTTAATGGATATAATCGACAATTTTATGATAAACTTACAATTTCAGTTTAATTTTTTTAGAGATTTACTTGGTTTTCTGATCGGCATTCTTCTCAACCTCTACAATGTTCTCTTTTCTCTGGTTCCTGGGATGTTCTGGAAAAACATCAGTTTGCCATCTCGGGACGAGGAAATTGCGGTAAATCCTAAAGGAGTTAAAGCAACTGTAAGCGTAATTTCAAACGACCTTCCATTTATAGAGTGGAATGTCCGATTTACAACGATACCCTTTGAACCATTGCTTGGTCAAGGATTGCTTAAATATTCTTATTTATATAGCAGGATATTAAGTGCCAAGAAACAGTGCAAGTGTACACTAGCACCATGGGCACTTGAATAGGGTAAGGTAGTCATACAATTCTAGTGATTATAACTTCTGTACCTTGCCATGCGTCATAACCAGATACATGAGACAGAGGATAGGGCAGGGTTCCTAGAACTGTCTTGGGATAAGGTCTGTGTAGGCTTTTATACTCATCATTTTGATTGGCATTTCTTTGGCAGACTGGCAATAACAAAAAAATCCGAGATTTAATGAAACTTGTTCGTGGATCTTCAAAATTTTACTTAAATCAAAAAATTTTGGAGACAGCTTTTTGAAATTCTTAATTGCATCCTTAAACCTTCTCTTGGGTCATGTGAGATCCGGCACAAAATTTGGTCAAGTCGCTTTTGTATAGAAATTACAATTGACAATCAGAAAATCATCAACTTGGATATCTAATTCAAACTTGTTCTTACAAAGATATTAACGTACAGAAAGGTTTGGAACCGGGCATGTTTTCTTTTCATGAAGGGTCACTTGAAATTACCCTTACAGTACCTTTTATAAATCCTTTCTTCATTTTGGCATTTTTTCAGATGCTTAAAATGGCGAAGAGATTATTTTTATGCTCTTTAACGGATTTTTTTTAGGGTCGACTACTTGCCATGATCCTACCACGATTCGTAATACTGGATTTGGATTGAAACCTCATGAACTATTTGGTAAGTCCAACCAAAAAATAATCAAATGTTTAAGTTGTCTTTAAAGTGTTGTTGGATACCCTTTATCCGGTTGGCTGAATCTGTATATCCAAAGTGGACACTTTTGATCTTCTGCTTAATCCTCTCTTTTGACAGTTCTCTTATTGATTTTGTGCACATTTCACGGCTTCTGATTGGCTATGGGCATATGTAAATTGTAAGTGACACTATGATTGGTTGAATTTTAGACACTTTCCTGGATACCAAAATAATGATTATTCAAATCTACAGATAAACATAAAAAGGAGATCAAGGATTGATGAATTATATGTTTTATATGCACGCACGGTGTCCGAATTTAATTGAATTTGAGCCTCGTCTTAAATCCGCCAAAACCCGGTTTCAACTGAGCGCCGGCGTAAATCTTGAAACATTAAATACAATTTTAAGTGGCATGTTTGAGCCGCATCTCAAATTTAAGCCGCGGCTTAAATTCTTTAAATTCGGCCTTCTATGTTTTTTTTTTCTTTTTGTAGAAAATTACAAATATGTCAAATATAAACCTTATAGGTGAACTATTTAATACCATTCTACATCTAAACCACTTTATATTAGTTCATGCATGTGAAAGATATCTTTTAGTTAGTCTGTACATTTTTGGTGCATTTTTGCCGACATTTTCTTTTACGATCAAAAAGACACAGTGGTGTAAGTAAACCAAAAAGTTGAACCAAAATGGATCCAAAATCGAACTAGTTAAAACGATCATTTTTTAATCGTTTTTTATTATTGTTTTTGATAAAAATATTGCAAAGCTTTATAATAGCTAATTTTAAGTGACTAGGCTTTATATGGCGCTTTGCGCTCATCTTCTATTCCAATTTTGACAATTTTTTTGTTTACATTGAAAAACTATAACAAAGACAAAAAATGTTCCCGGATTTTTTAGCAAAAAATGTTCCCGGATTTTTTAGCAAAAAATTTTGTAGATTTTTTGAATTTAATGAAAATCGAATTTTGTTGGAGGCAAAATTTTAAATTTTGATCATCTATAAACCTTCTCTGGGGACATGTGAAGTACCACACAAAATTTGGACCCATGATCGATTCAGCTGTTTTGACGTTTATTGGATACAAATAGACAGACAGACAAACAGACAAGCAAAGTATAAATATTGAGGACAGTTATTAAATCTTGGAAATTCTATAAAAAAATTTTAAAAACCAACCGAAACGATTAATTTTTTAAATATATAAGTTATATTTCAAGGTGAGGTTTGTGAAAACATCAGAGGGGATAAATGGTGGACTGAGAGAAATCAAGTTGGGAGTCATTCTTCAGTAAGTAATTATAAATTTGAAAAAGTAAAATCTGTATTCTCTATAAGTTTGATTTGATCAAAGATTTTTAAAACGCAAAACGAGTTTTCTAATAGTTTTGGTTATTATATTTGGTCAGAATACAAATTTTGGAAAACTTAATAAAAGTGTAATGTTCTTTCGAATATTTGAATCAAAACAAACAATTTAAAAATTGATAGATTTCAATCTAAGTATCAATTAAACCTTTTAATGAAATTTATAAGACTTCTAATATTTAACAGTGTGCTCGCAGAATTAAATAACAGGAATTAAAGGTTTGATTTATTGACATATAATATTTGCAAGTTAAAAATTTGACAAAATTCGAACAAGTATGAAAGGTGCATAAAAATACATAAGTTTAAAACTAGCCCAGTTTATAAGGAAAATTTTACAAGTATAAAAATATGCATAAGAATGTTAAATTAAAAACAAGCCAAGTTTAGAGAGGGAGGGTTTAGGGGAATATAAATATATAGAGAGACCTGGTTAGAAGAGAAGTAGTAGTTCTGCCTGTGAACCCCAGACTGAATCTACTACGAAAAGGTGGCCTTTTTATACGGCCGGGTATTGCATAATGATGACAAAAAACTAGGACATATTTCATGGCTTGTAGGGGAGAGAATGTTCTAGAACATGCATATTTCACAATGGTGATAAAAATATAGGGCTTGAGAAGCTTAAACGTTGTGAAAATAAACTCAATTTATAAATACAGAACGTTCTAGAATATGCATATTGCACAATGATGATAAAAATATAGGGCTTGTGAAGGTAGAAAATGTTAAGAATGAATTCAATTGTAATTCAGAGATTATAAAGATAGAATAGGAGGGGAAGGGGGAAAACATGTTCAATGAATACAAAACATGTATTTCTGTAAACTAAGTAAAACTTTCTTGATTCTTGATTGTCCAGAGTAACAAAAAGAAATGGTCTCCATCGATGTTGAATATCTCATGAGAATCCTCTCTGTCATTTATCTCATCTCCAGTAGGAGCAAAACAGTTATTTTGATAGAAAATATCGTTAGAATTTATAATCTTGGAGATTATAACAAAAGCAAATGTGTCTACACTCCTGTATGCCGAGTCCTTTAGCGCCTGATCCAATCAGGGTTCAGTCATGTGTTTGATGTTTATTCTGAACCAATAGAAATTGCATGGCAGTAACATCTATCTTTCTATCTATCTCATTATCCATTAAAATTATGAATCCTTCACTCGGTGCTATCAGTAAATGGAAATATTTACTTCTATTGAAACGTGTCTATCTAGCCAAGCAAAGAGATAAAAGTAAACTGGTCTAGCAAGCAAAAATTAATATACATCTCAAGACTCTTGAGGAGCCTATTTACAGTCTAAACACTTCGAGTTTTCAAAAACCGGGGCTAATTCTAGTCTGCTAATATATACATATATATATAAACAAAGTTTCCCATAACGGATGAGACTTCAGAGACTATTATACAGAATTTATACTGTCAGTTTCCTGTTATTTACTATTCCTGGCAACTGTAAACTTCAGAGACTATTGTACAGAATTTATATTATTTATCAGTTTCCTGTTATTTACTATTCCCGGCAACTGTAAACTTCTTTTTTGCTTAATCGTTGAATATGTCGTAGTTCCAGGCAGGAGACTTGATTTAACCTCGTAACCGTCAAATTTAATGAGCTTCAGGTCGTCTTTACAGACGCATCCATTGTGGATAACCCTGTATGTATAATTTATATGTTTTAGTTTGGTCTGGATTATGGATGTCCAAGACAGTTTACCAAGATTAGAATTATAAACTCTCATCATTTGGAGCAAAATTTTTGCGGGATTAAGGACTTTACAGTGTTTGGGTCAAATGACATGATACACCATGAAACCCTGGTATCAGGGAGGCTCACTAACCCTTTAGGACTAGTAAGTAATATTCTTATAGGGAGTTTCAGCAAGCTTATGGTGTACTTGCCGAAAAATACATATTAAACATTTTTGTAAGATTTTCTAGGCAGGAAAGCCCCATTTTTAAAATTTGAAACGTGATTAATATTGCTTGATTTTACAATGAGGTTTCCCAAAAATATATCATTAGGCAATCACGACGCTTTGCGCCCATTTTATATTTAAAATGTTAATTGTTGCTCAATATTTCGGCATTTTCTCTTAATAAAAAACAAAAATAAATAATTTTGCGAATTTCAATCATTTTTCGGAGTATTTAAAATTTTTACGAAAATCAACATGCAGTGAGCATTTATAAACCTTCCCTGGGGTCATGTGAGTAATTTACAAAAAATGTGTTTCCGATCGGTTTTCTTATGTTTTGACGTTTATCAGTTACAAACAAACAACCAGAAAAACAAGCAAAATATATATAAGATTTAAAACATTTAAATTCTAAATTATCTTTATTTCGTTTCAGGGATGTGAGGTCCCTGTTGATATATATACTCTTCAATCAAAAAAGAAATATCAATATCTTATTTTTCAAGCAGAATCATTTAATGATCCAGTAAAGCCTTATATGACACTGGCATCCTTTAACCCAGGTAACAAATTAAACATAAAACATAAAAATATTTTTAAGAGATTTCACAGTCGACAAAGGTCAATTTGAATTCGAGCCGGACCGACCTCTTGTACTTTAGTGACGGGCGGCAAGTACCGACCGCGACTTATCATATGCCGGCTCGGTATCAACTTTTATGGCGTTGGGCCAGACTTTTTTACAGTACCCGGCCTAATTTACCTATTCCACTAGCTTAGTTTAGTGTAATGTTGAACGTTTTTTCTTCAGAATATGTAAAAGACCCATTTGCCTACTGGACCTGTGCTGAGAAATTGCCAGCGAAAAACAATATCAAGGTCAACTTTTAAATTATTATTTTAAGTGATCATTGAAATTTAAAGTACTAGGCTTTTAGGGCGCTTCGCGCCCATCTTCTATTTAAATTGTGAACATGTTCTTTTTGTTTACATTTTAAAACAAAGAAGAACAAATTTTTGCGGATTTTTAAAAAATATTCGCGGATTTTCACGAATTTAAATTTTTTTACAAAATTAAAAACCTTTTAAACACATTTTTAAAAATTTTTATCCTTCATAAACCTTCCCTGTGGTCACGTGATGTCCCACAAAAATTTGGGCTCGATCGGTTCAGCCGTTTTGACGTTTATTGGATACAAACAGACAGACAAACAGACAAACAGACAGACAAGCCAAATCTATATATAAATTTGGCTTGTCTGGGTGTTTGTCTGTTTGTCTGCTTGTTTGTTTGTATCCAATAAACTTCAAAACGGCTGAACCGATCGGGCCCAAATTTTTTGTGTTACATCACGTGACCACAGGGAAGGTTTATGAATGATCAAAATTTCAAATATTTGTCTCCATCAAAATTCGATCTTCATTAAATTTTTGAAAATTTTGAAAATCCACAACATTTTTTGTGAAAGTCCGCGAATTATTTTTGTTTTGTTTTACGATGTTCACAAAGAGAACATGTTCACAATTAATTTAGAAGATGGGCGCGGAGCGCCCTATAAGGCTAGTTTATATATAGATTTATACACTTTTCATACAAATATTTTTACGTTTTGAATATCTTAAAAAGTTATAGAAAATCCACTAGTAAAATAAAACAGGAAAATCCACGAAAAACTTACAACTTTAAATTTTTAACGCCATTTTAACAATAAAGTTAATGCTCATTACACTAGGTAAAAACTGATGCATATTCTGCCTTTTTGACTCTACGAACCTGTGCAGAACTGTGTAGGGGGAGAGATTATAGATATTTTTCGCTCAAGGTATATTTCATTTATCTTCAATGTTTGCATACATTTTTAAAGATTTTTTATCACTGAAATGATTTGATTTTTACTGTCCAATCCCCCTCCATATCTATTACAGAGAGTGAAAAGGAAGGAGACAAAATTATCTCAAAAATTGACTCCTTTAATAAGCTTCCCACAGTGGGACTACTGGAACCCATAAAACTGTAAAATACAACATTTAAGAATAGTTTGCGTATTTGATTTTGTTATAAAGCAAATAATTGAACCAGTTGCTTAAAACCAAAGTATTAAGTAAAGGGGTCTGTATACAATGCACAATTGATGTGTTTAATGTGCATTTGATTATTTAACATCATAACTGAATTCTTTAAGTAGTTTTTCTATTCCACAGATTTTTATGTTTAAAAATATTTCTAGTTGTCTGAGTGCTATTGTGCGAATAATTTCCCCTCTGATTATCCTAATGGAGTTAATTTTGAAGACTGTTCCTATCTAGAATATCCGGTAAGATGAGAACGAACAAAATTTTTCATGAACGTTAGTGTCGTGACGTGTCGAAAAAAGCATCAACAGAAGATTTGAAATTATTGAAACGAACTTGAAAAAACATATTTTTTTTTACTTATGGAACGAATTTTTCAAAAGATTTTGATAAAAACTAACTTTTTTGTGTGTGTTAAAACAGATTTTTTGGAACAAACTAAAAAAAATATTGGGTTTTTATTGAATATGAATCGTTGTTTACTAAACGATCTTTCACTGAGTAAACGAACAAATTTGTTGTAAAATGAACGATTCTTTGAGAACTAACGAAATCAAGTTATTATTTTACGGCTGAAAAAACTAACAAAATGCGTGTTTCATGAACGATGAACGAACAAAATGATAAAAACGAATGCGTTCATTAATCTCTAGTTGAGATAAAAGAACGAACCAATTTTCAGGTTACCCTGGGTTCTTACCTAGAATCACTGAAGGATATCAAATTTATAAACGGCGTTAACAAAAGATATTTTTGCAGTAAGTTTGCCGCTAAACTGCTACGGCAGTGCATTTGCCGCTAATGATTGGTTCTTCTATAACAATAAATAGTGGGGAAAATTAAAAGTTCTTATTAAAAAACATAAACACATAATTTTTTTTTCTGTGAGTTTTATGCAATTTCAATCCAAAAATTTTCGAAGGTCACCGTTTGTTAACAAAATTACCGGAATTTTTTCCATTTATCTCTGGCAATTAGCCCCAAAAAGGAAGACCACATTTTGGAAATACCCCTTTTTCAGCATGCCCACAAATAAGCGGTAATCTTTATTATTGTTTCAAGAATTATATTTATTAATTAGGTTGACAAATAAATGTCACAAACTGTTTCAACAATTAAATACAATTTTCAAGTCGGCATCAGATCGTCATAACCTCCTAATGTATAATTTTTTATTTGAATAAAATCTAGATTTTTGAATCGAGCAAGTTCCCCCTAGTTTCCTCTTGTGCTGAACTATACTTCCAGCACCAGGTTTATGCCTGGGATCAATTCAAGATTAGTGCTTCATCTTCAAACCAAATCAGGTAAGAAAGGTATTGTCGTCGTCTTAAGTATCAATTACAATGAAGACGACTTTCTATTTCAATTATGATGTCTACCAACTATCAAACAAAAAGTAACGTCAATGAACATTTAAATGCTTACTTGTAAACTTTTATTTTCAAGAAAAGCTCAATCAAAACCCAAATAGAGAAGTCGTCTTCCTTGTATTGATACAAACAATGAAGATGTAGCAAAATCCTTCTACGATAAAGCAAGACGATTGTCGTCTTCCCCTTTTAATCTTAAGAGTTGACGCGCTCAATGTTCTATTTGTAAATATTATTTTTCTTTGCAATTGTCCAGGGTTAAGATTCAATTAATTAAATTGATGTAGCTGAACTGCATAGAGTAAAATGAAACACATATTCTCCTTTGCAACAGGTTAAACTGATGAGAAGTGGTTCAATTTAGTCTTACTGGTTTAACTACAGATCAACTTAATCCTGTAGTTTAACCACCCGTGCACAGTTCATGCAGCTAGGGTTTCAAGCGAGAGAAAACTTTCGCGAAAAATGCGAAATTTTCGCAAAACGATTTACACTTATCGCTGGAAACCCTATTAATACTTCTCTCTATCATTCTTAAATTCTTAACTCTGGTATATTAACAATGCTTACTCCATTGACATAACTTTTATTTTAACGCAAAATTAATGCATTCATTTTTTATTCCGACAAAATAAAATGAAAGCAAAAATTTGTAAACTCTGTTGTAAACTAGATAATTTAAATGTTTAATATTACAAGTGTAAAATGTGATTTCTCTGAGCCAACACGTAGATATGGATCAAGTTCAGATGCAACTGCAGAGAAATTTGCCCACAGGTAGACCCCCTTATAATACGGGATTTTCGGTTTTCATGGCCCTTATAATCTTTTTCAAAGACTCGAATTGCTTTCCATTACTAGCGATGGGCAATATCTAAATTCGTTTCATAGAAAATTTTAACATTTTAAGATTTTTAACAGGTTTTACGACAACATGAAAAAGGTTCCAACATTTTAAAACTTTATTCTGTAGAAGTTTGCTTTCCTCAAACATATGCAAATTTGTTACCCTTTAGAAATTTTGGAACCTTCTCATGTTGTCGTAAAACCTGTTGAAAGTCTAAAATATTAAAAGTTGAAAAGAATCTGGTTGTTTCCCATCCCTATCCATTATGACGAATACATAATTTGCGAACTGCTTTGATGGACCTTAGAAATATGCCATTTTTTCACGGCAGTAAATAAATAAAAAATAGTTTGAAATACAGGGTTACCCACAAACACAGAGACTGTAAAGACGATTTTAAGGTTAAATCAAGTAGCCTGCCTTGAAAAATCGCCTTTCCCTGGCTATTTAATGATTTAGCAAAGAAAAGATTTACAGCCGCCCGGGAACCAACAATCTAAGAAAACAGAAAATATTAATTACGCTTATTTGTCTCTGACGTCTCATCCTTTGCGGATAATCACATACCTTGAAGGCTTGAATCTAGATTAGAAAAATGTAATCTAGATTGTTCTGCTATTTTTAGGGCAATTTTGCTGGCGGATGAGAAATCTTTGTCAAATTCGACAGACAAAATCTTGATTTACACCACACAGTCAGCTAAAGTAAGTATTACTTGATTCATTAAAAAAACTATATTTTAGGATTAATATTATCGATTTTTTTGGAAAATAAGCCAACTTACTCTGATTAAAAATGTGGAAGATACCGTCGTTTTTCCGGCTCAAAAGGTGTTCTATTCTGATTATTTCTCCATTGCTTCTTAAAAGCAAGAAATCCCAAGTTACTTTCGCAGAGAACCCGAAAAACGAAATTAAACAGTTTAAAGATAAAAAACATGGATTTTAAGTCTTACTTGATCAGAGTACAGTTGCAACTTGGGCATTGACAGGATAACTTGAAACTACGCTTACATCATGACCCCCCTTATATTTTGAGCAGTTCTCCCTACAAGTGAACAGTTAGTGTGATAAATAAATTTATTCAATTAAGTTTCATAAAAATGTGCGATATTTTTATTAAAATACTCGATTGCTTTGCCGGTAAAAATATTACTTATTTGCCTCGGAAGAAATAAGAAATTTTTCATACCAAAGAAAGTAAAATTGTGAGAAAAAATGTGGAATAGAAATTATCTGAAAATTATGGTGTAAATTGTTTGAAAGACATATGCAAATGTTTTTCTTTCTGATTTTCAATGATGTGTTAAAGTAATTTCCGAAATTTAAACCAAGGAACCTTCCAACTGGCGTTGATAATCTGAACAACTATTAACAGAAAAAAAGATTTTATGTCTACTGTTAACGGAGGAAAAGATTTTATGTCTACCGTTAATGGAGGAAAAATTTTATGTCTACCGTTAACGGAGGAAAATATTTTATGTCTACCGTTAACGGAGGAAAAGATTTTATGTCTACCATTAACGGAGGAAAAGATTTTATGTCTACCGTTAACAGAGGAAAAGATTTTATGTCTACCGTTAACGGAGGAAAAGATTTTATGTCTACCGTTAATGGAGGAAAAGTCGGAAAATGACAACATTTGTTCCTCCCTGGAGTTTTAAGCAGTGAAGTAAAGAATTTTACCCCCTGGAAGATTTTGTACATGTGTGTTTGTGTTATTTTTAGGGAAAATTTGTTTTTGTTATGATGTTAATTTTTTTGTTTATTATTGATTTAAATTCAAGATTTTTTCACAATGGTCAAGATTAAAGATCTTGAATTCAAACCTCAAAGAAACAAAAAAAGTCAAAATACCGACCAAAAATACATATTTTCCCGCATAATAACAGAAGATAGTTGCAAAAACAGAAATTAAAAAAAGTATTTTTATTACTTCCTGAGTTGGTATTGTTGCCAATATTTTTGTTTTACCGGGGTAAAGGGTGTTTATTTTTTTTTTAGTAGTTACAGTTTTTTAGTTGTAGGGTTGTTAATCGTTTTTAAAACGATCAGGAAGATAAGGTATAATAAATTTTGCCTTAAATGTTTTTTTATCGATAGAAATAACTGGAATTTGTTTTCCGAACAAAATAATGTATTTTCTCTAATAAGCTTGCTAACGATCCTTAACAAAGGGTCTGATCGTTATCGGTCGTTAAGAAAGTGTTGTTGTTAACGGTCATTAACGAAGGGTCTTTTGCGAAAACGATCTTTTTAAAATGATTATTATTAAAAACTTCGTCCTCGGGTTTATATTTGAATACCTCAGGGGTTTAAATTTTCCATTGTTTTAAAAACTTTCGTTTTTTCCAAAAAAAAAACGAAAAGACTGTTTTCAAAAACCTGAGAATGATTCCTTTTCAGTTATTGTAGTGGTTGTCAATGTCAACGTGTTGTTGTTGTTTTTGTTGTTGTTGTAAACCTTTATAATTGGTTCTGGTTGTTTTTCAGTTATTGTAGTGGTTGTCAATGTCAACGTGTTGTTGTTGTTTTTGTTATAGTTGTAAACCTTTATAATTGGTTCTGGTTGTTTTTCAGTTATTGTAGTGGTTGTCAATGTCAACGTGTTGTTGTTGTTTTTGTTGTTGTTGTAAACCTTTATAATTGGTTCTGGTTGTTTTCAGTTGTTGTAGTGTTTGTCAATGTCAACGTGTTGTTGTTGTTTTTGTTATTGTTGTAAACCTTTATAATTGGTTCTGGTTGTTTTTCTGTTTTTGACAAAATCTTTTTCAGAGAGTTTTGAAGTCATCCCTGTATGAGTATCCGGAACTCACATTTCCTTTAACTCCTGGATTTGGTTGGAACTTCAGGACAGAGGATAATATTCTCTTTGAGTTCGGGAAACGATCTGCTATGATCTGGGGATTGTACTTTATCAAAACAGAGTTTAAAGAACCAGTAACTCTCAGCTTCAGAATTGGCTACTATGAAGACACTTTTTACAAGCATAAGTAAGTTTAAACCCTTAAAAGTTTTACATCACATTTGATAGGGATTTTAGACATGACTGAAAAAGTCTGAATTTTAATTTCTATCCCGAAATTTGTCCTGGTAGAAATTGTATGATCATACAAATTTTATTTCCAAAACGGTTTTTTGTCATTCTGGAGTTGGTCTTTTCCGAGAATTGTCTTTTATGTGAATTGTCTCTTTAACGTATGTCTCATCCGAAAATTGTCTGTTTGGAGTTTATATATCTGGACTATATGTCCTTGTGGCTGGAGATGGTTCTCAACATTATCGTTCATTCTCCCGAAATTTTGTTCATTTTCTTACTGAACAATCATTCAATAAATCATTTGTTCAGTAAAATTGTTCTTTCAGTAATAGATTGTTCAGTAAAATGGTTCGTTTATTAAATAACATGACGTTATTTCACAAGTTTGTTAAAAATCGGTCACTCAGGAAATAAACTATCTTTTTTTTTTTCAAAATCGCTTATCTAGAAAAAACTATAGTTTTTTCAAAATCTTTTGGAAAAGTTGTTCGTTCAGAAAACAAAAAACAATAATTTGTTTCAAGAATGTTCTAACAACGATTTCAACAATTTTTTTTCGTTCGTTTTACTGTGAGCAATCCAAGTTTTTCATCCATTGTTCGTTTTTTTTAACAACACCATTTTTAACGTAAAATTTCGATCGTTCTTAAAATGTTTCTTTGTTAACAATAATGTTGCCCATCTCTACTTGTTGCTTGATAAACCATGTTCATCCTAGGAGTGAGCCTGAAGAATGGATAAGCCCTGCTAGAAAACTTCCCTCAGACGGAGATTTTTTTGATATGACAATTGATCCTGCCGATCTTGATAACGCTGGTGTTATTTATTTCAATGATCCCGCATTTGCAACATCTACAATGTCTTTTGTTGCAAGTAGGGTTGAAGTACAACTTCTTAGTGGTCCAAAAACTTTATTTTTTGATTTTGTTGGTAAGTGACAAGTATTTTATCTCCTCAACGACCTCAACCACGCTAAATTCAAATTTGACATTTAGGAACATTTTTTGAGTTTGATGACGCAGTGGATGGGAAAATAGGAAGTAAAGATTATGATTTCTACAATAAATCCATTGGAACCTACATATTAAAAGGTTTTTAGACATTTATCACTATATAACTAAACTTGGCTTTAGGGCGCTTCGCGCCCATCCTCTATTTAAATTTTTAATTGTGGCTCTATCTGTAAGCATCTTTTCTTCGTACAGTATAAAACAAAAACAATACAAGTTTGCGGATTTCCACACATTTTTTCGCGCAAAAATGAAAAGCTTTTGGATACATATCTTTTTGTAATTCTGAGCATGCTATAAGCCTTCCCTGGGGTTATTCGAGATCAACCACAAAAATTTGGCCCAATCAGTTCAGCCGTTCATTGGATACAATTAGACAGACAGACAGAAAAGCAAAGTGTATAGATGGATAAAAATAAAAATAAATAATACCTTTAAATTTGATAGATGATGTGAAAACAAGAGATATCAGCACAAATTATTCTCCTGAAGACTGCAGTTATCAGTGTGGTGGTGACGAGAATAAGAACATCTACTACGCTGTTAGGAAGCTGAATGATGACAACTACAGATGCGCCTGTATTGGTCGAGATCTAAGTTTAATACTAGGAGGTGGATATACACCTTCTGCATCAAGTTCTGTACTCTGCACCTTGGAATATGACAAAGCATTAACAGATCCTCTAGATGCAGATGTACACCTCAATAGTTTTCTAACAAAATACTACACAGGAATAGAGAAATATAGAGTTTATATCCCCCCACCCGGCCCCTTACCCCCATTTCCTACCTGGGCTAGCTAAAATCCACTTCCCTTTGCATCTAAGCATACAGCTATGTGCTAGTTTAGTTAATATTCCGCCGTAGAGGTCACCGAGTCTATAGAAAGCTGGGGAAAACAGGATACTGCATGCTTTCTTTTACAGACTGCAACATGTTTAAGCATAATGCTAGCGCCATCGTGTGAAAAATATTTTTAAAATCTACCTGACTCTGCTTGTACTCAAGTACACAGCTAAACTATACCTTTATTTACTCTAATTACACAGGGCTGAGGACAACAGCTGAAATGACCTCCGGGGCTTTATTAAACATATGTAATATGGCCCGGAGGGTTGACATCGCTGCTTTGTACATGATCCATTTCTTAGGAAAGAGCACAGAGTATATCTTGATGGAATATACATTTAATTTAACGGCAAACTACATCTACCCAGGGAGCAATGACATGATTCCAAAAAATTTGAAAGATTATCCAAACCTAGAGCAAGGTTTCTGGACTGTAGTTACTCAGGTCCTTTTTAAATAATATCTGATAAAAATAGAGGGTATTAGGTCACAACTTCCAAAAACAGCAATTTCCCCATCTTCTACATTCCCCAACACCAATTTTATCACTAAGTTAACAAATAGTAACTACACCAACAACAATGTCCCCAAGCAGTAAAATTCTGGAATAAAATAAACAGTTTTCAGAAATTATCAAACTTATCCTTAATGAAATCAAAAACAATTTTGGAACATATCCACACTAGGCTTTCAAGGCGCTTCGTACCATCTTCTATTTCAGTTGAACATTTTATCTTTTTCTACATTGTAAAAACAAACACAAAAAAGTTTGCCATTTTTAAAAAAAAAAATATGTGGATTTTCAAAATTTTATGAAAATCGATTTTTTTTGATTATCCATGAACCTTCCCTAGGGTCATGTACGCGGTCCTTCATAAAATTTGGGTCCGATCAGCTCAGCCGTTTTAACGTGTATTGGATCCAGACAAACAAAGAAACAAACAGACAGACAAGCAAAGATGATAGATGATGATGTTTGATAAAAAATAACAAAAAAACAAGAAACTTTTTTCTTTGTGGATAGTGTATACTGTATATGGATGCATGGGTATGCGGCGTTGGCATACGGTATGCCAACGTGGTTAAGTTATACAAACTAAATTGTGTATTTTAATTTTCTTATTTTCAACCTGCACTTTTGAGATACAGACATAATGAATTCATTAGAATATTGTATGGGAAATTGTAAAAGGGAAAATTAGTGATTGTTGTTGGTGGGGAAACTAGTAGTTGGGAAATTGCAGTTGGTGAAATAAACTTGGGAAAGTTAGTAAAGGAGAAGTTGCGTAAATGGGAAATTACCTAACACTAAAATAAAGCTGAGCAGAGCTAGGCGAGCTAGGCACAGTGAATATTTATTCCGTTTTAAACCGTTTGTTATGACGTTGGTTAATTTAACAGAGAGGTCAGTTGTGTTTTTGTTAATTTTAAGTCAACACCTAAGGCTGCTCAATTAACAAGTAAAAATTAACATTCCTTCTAGTTTCCCAAAAGAATTTCCTATTGATTTTCATAAACTATTTTTACTGTCAGAAATGAACTGAGATCTTTTTCTAATTCTTATTTGCAACATGATATCCGTTAACTTTTGGTATTTCAAAAATTCAATAAAATTTTTGGAACATTGAAAAAAAGCCGCCAAATTCTTTTGTTTTCCAAAATTCAATAAAATTAAATGAGATATGACAAAAATCCGCAAAATTTTAGATTTAAAATCTGCAGTAAATGTTATCAAATTGTAACCTTAGATCTGTAAAAATGCAAATAATTGACTTTTTAACTTTAATAATTTATTTTAATTAAATTTTACAATATTTTAAATTGCAATATGATATCAGATGGAAACATTTTTAGACTTCTATATTTCTTGTTTTTTTATTCTTTCTTCTTGATCTTCCATTCCTTGTCCATCCTTCAATCATACTTTGGCTAATTTTGAAAATAAAAATAAATGATTGACTAACATTTTGGTTTTGCGGTTTTTTTTTACTTTTATTATGCCTAAAATCCAATCAAAATAAAAATATTTGAAAATTTTGTCAAAAACATAAAGAATCCCCTATTTTTTACTCACCCTGTAGATATTTTTGTTTAGCTGGACCAAATTTGCAAAACATTTTTTTGATTAATGTGTTTAAAACCTTGGCAACGCTGAGTACTCCAGCTAGTAATTATTATAGCTGAAGCTGGTTCAAGCAAAGACGACAGCACTTAATAATTTATCTTCTTGTTCGTTTAAATAACATGAACTTGTTTTAGTTCACTGCTGAAACAGAATCAACTTTAAGCAGTAAATCGAGAAACAAGGTCTGGTGCACTGAGCGAGCTTATGCAGTCTATTTACACTGTGTTTCCTCAATCAAAATATGCAGTGATACAGATTTGAACAGCAATTTTAAGAAAACTCAACGCTGTAGAAATCAAATTTGGAAGTATTTTCTCGAACTTTGTATTAGACTGCTTAATCAAGAAATAAGTAGACCAAGTGGGTAAGTGAGTCAAAATTTGTTTTGGAATTGTGCAAAAATCAATATAAATCTGGAAAATATTTTTAATAGTTTGTTTAAAAATACCCTTAACATGATTTTTTCCATTTTGGGGAAATAATGAATTTGAACTGAGAATGATGTAAAATACGTTCTTAATTCTATAAGTTATTTTGAAGTAATGTCTATTACTCAAAAAGTAATTTCTTGACGTCCAGCTTCTAGTGGTACTCACCTTGGACTAACTTTAGAGCGAGATGCATTAGTTTTTTTTATTTAAATTCAATCGTGTTTTGGTCTGTAATTCAACAATCTTTAAACTTGCTGAATTTTGTTTACACTTTTTCTCGCGAAACGCATATACCGAGAAAAAAAGTTATGTTTGATAGGTCAAATTATGATCGAAAGTCACAGCTTGCTGGGATAAGGACTAATCTGTTAACTCCGCCTGCACTTCAAATCTTAGATATTCTTATTTGTAGTGTTAGTGATATACTCATAAAGGGAGTTTCTGGCTGAGCATGGTTGTTTCGCGACCAACCGGTCTCGATCTGAAAATAAGTAGTTGAGCTTAGAATTCATTACTGTAGATAATTTTTTAAATCATTTGAGACCTATAAGATGCTTGAGCAATGTATAAGTTTTAAGAAAGACTAACAATTCAATCATCAAAATCCTCCTGGTTTGTCCAACCCGCCAGGCAGGTGTGCAGCACCACAATTCCTGTCATGTGAGCCTGTCATGCCACAACCAGGAGGGCAGGCGTGCAGCACCACAATTCCTGTCATGTTGGCCTGTCATGCCACGACCAGGAGGGCAAGCGTGCAGCACCACAATTCCTGTCATGTTGGCCTTTCGTGCCACGACCAGAAGTGCAGGCGTGCAGCACCACAGTTCCTGTCATGTTGGCCTGTCGTGCCACGACCAGGAGGGCANCGTGCAGCACCACAATTCCTGTCATGTTGGCCTGTCATGCCACGACCAGGAGGGCAGGCGTGCAGCACCACAATTCCTGTCATGTTGGCCTGTCGTGCCACGACCAGGAGGGCATGGGCATGCCGCACCACAATATGAAAATTTCTCTACATTACAAAGTCTCAGCTCAATTACCATTTCCAACCAGACACTCCCTTGAAAAGAAGTGAATAAGTATATAATAACATGATTGTTTTGTTTAGTCCTGAATCCAACTGTATTAACACAAACTATACCAGCGTATATCCGTTTGATCTTTACAGACGGTAATTAGCTATTTATAAAACCAGTGCGTAGGATCCGGATTCGTTGGATTCGCAACTTTTTTGGCTTCCATGGATCCGGATCTGCAAAAATAAACGGATCAGAATCCATGAGGGCAAAATATTAACCAAAAACTTTGCAAAATTTTGCTCTGAAAACTCCAATCTGAATTGTTGAAAAAGAGAGATCATCATAAATGTCCTAAATGGTTCATCAAATTGTTGCATAAAAATAAGTAAAAAAAAGTAAGAAAAGTAGTTCTTCTTCAGGATCTGCATTGAAATTAGATGGATCCTAAGCACTGTATAAAACTATTAATTGGTTCGTAGTGTTGTATTTTATTTACAGAAATTTTCTCAATATAGCCTTTTTTGATTTATACACAATATAATATAAAGGCCAGACCCTTCAACTACTGAGAAAGTCTAATTCCTACTGCAGTAGCCTGATAGTGCAAACCATTTTAAACTTTTATTATTAGTTCAGAATTCATGTTTACATAAAACATCTCCTTCAAGTCCAAAATTTGTACAACATGTCATGTCAAAATAATGTAGTTTTACTGCAGTTAAATCGCTTTTAAAAGGACTGTAAAGGAAAAATGAAAGGGGGTATAGGATGAAATCTGAGAATCTCAGGCGTTAAATGATACATATAAAACATCTATATGATGTTCTTGTCTCGAGAAACTGATATAAAACTTTGTCAAATTTATACGAAAATTCATATATATGCAATTTTGTAAAAAAAATTTTAGTATCGTTGTTACGTGATACAGACGGGAATCACGTGACCAGTATACTGCACTGCCATTGGCTATAGTTCTGGTGACGTAATACAGACTAAACGGACTATCTGTAATAATATTATCAATTATATGTATTAAAAATGCGAAATAAAAAAATATGATAGGAGCAAACTTGAGTTTCTCAGGCTCCGGTGGGATATCGTCGTTTTCAGATTGGTTGCGTATTTGTTGAATATGATCTGTTTAATACTACAACTTTTAGACAAAATTGCATATATATGAATTTTCGTATAAATTTGTAACACAAGACAGGAACATCAGATAGATGTCTTATATGTATCGTTCTACTCCTGAGATTCTCAGGTTTCATCCTATACCCCCTTTCATTTTTCCTTTACAGTCCCTTTAAAGAGATTTTAAAACGACTTCTCTGAACTCTGGGCATTAGACATTGGGCATTGTCCTCTTTTAATGAATGGTAGCTTGAAATTATGCTAATAGTCCCTAAAGTCACTAATTAGTAACCCTACCACATTGCATATATGATAAAATTTTGCATCAAACAATTTTAAGTTCGTTTGCTAATAAATTGAGTTTTCTAAAAATTGAATAGAGATGTTTCAGTCTTTTCCTTTAACATTGCTCCCTTACAAACGAAAAAAAAAATAATTTAAATGGGTTTTTATTTTTCCCCCAACAATTTGAAGTTCAAAGAAAGGAATTGAGTTTTTGTCACAAACTCTGATTTTCTTTTTCCCCATATCTTTGCATTTTATTGACGGAGACCTTAGATATTTCAATGAATCTCTTTAGATCAAATAATGAAAGTTTAAAATATAAAAGGTTTGCACCATCATCAGGTGGAAAATATATGGCGATTGTAAAATCATAATTTGTGGCAAAAACTCAGTTCCTTTAATTCCAAAGGCGAAAAGGGGGACAGGGTTACAAAAATTAGATTTTAAAATATCATTTTTGTAGATGGAATTTTGACTGCCCTGAACTTTCCGAGGTTCTTTATCAATTTGCAACTCCAGATAACGGTATTTAAACATGTTTTTTTTTGGATGATTTGATGTTTCCAGCTTATATTCAGTTTATCTGCAATATCGATATACTTGTAAGCAGATTTTTTTATTATGATAAGTAATATCTTAAGAATTATGATCATTAATCTAAAAAAAGATTTATCAAAATTGTTCTTTTGCAGACAAAGCTAAATGATTGTAACAACAATTCAGAACTTTTGTGTTTTGAATCTTGGGATTTAGTATTGATCTTATGTAGACCTACAGATTAATTCAATTCCTTTTCAATATACTATGATGGTCATGCACTGCAGAGATAACTTTAATTGAGGGAACCATCATTTATCCATTAAAGGTTTCTACATTGGATATCAAGATCAAGAGATTAAAATTAACGATACATAACACACAAGAATTGTGTCTTCAGGGGCGAATTTTAAGAATTCAAACCGCGTCGCTGAACCGTCAAAAACCGGTTCCATGCTTGAGCGCCGGCTCAAATCTCGAAACACTGAATAAAAGTTCAAGAGGAACCTAACCATACTTCTTCAAGTTCGTCCTCAGGATTAAGTCTTTGAAACTAACTCAACTTTTTTAACCCCTATTTTTTTAACCTGATGGTTCATATTTCAAACAATTAGATTATTTGGTCTCAGAGAATTCATTGCTTGAAATATCTAAGATCTACTACATTGGGTTGCACTAGATATGGAGATTATAAAATCAGAGTTTGCGGCAAAGACTCAATTTCTTTGTATTGTAACATTTAGATTCGCCCGTTTGTTATAAAAATCTAGTTGGTAAGAAATGTTTCAAAAACTTGTTGTTGTTGTTGTTGTTTTTGTCGATGTTGTTGTTGATGGTGTTGTTGATGTTGTCGTTGATGGTGTTGTTGTTGTTGTTGTTGTTGTTGTTGTTGATGTTGATGTTTTTGTTGTTGTTTTTGTTGTTGTTGTTGTTGTTGTTTATGTGGTTGTTGATGTTGATGCTGTTTTTGATGTTGATGCTGTTTTTGATGTTGATGTTGTTTGTGTAGAGGGTGGATATCTACAGCTGAGGACTGCACCTAAAGAGTTTGATAACAAATACAGAATCCCAGGAACTGTTCAGCGCTATACTTGCAGGTATTTTTAGGGGCTTTAAAGGGAGTGTCTGTCTAGACATGGTAGTTGAGATGAAAATGCAGTATTGTAGAGAAATTTTGTAGGATTCATTTGAGACCAATGGACGTTTTTACTGTGCATATTAGTTTAGCAAGGACGCAAATTCAATCTTTAAAAGCATTATAGATTGTTCATTGTGGAGGGATGATTTTGAAAATCGGTTTATAAAAATTATACAATGAAGACCACGAAAAATGTAATAAAAATTCTACAGTAAACTAATTAGTTGTTTAGGAACAGATTGAGAAAATAATAATTTACTCTAGTCATAGAAAATAAGTAATCTTATTCAGTCTCATTGCTCACTAACATTTTCTGTAGATTTTCTGGAATTTTGATTTAAAAGACGACATATGAAGAATTTGAAGAAATCCGCGAACAAATTTAAAATAATAAAAATTCAATATAATGAGGAAAAAGAAATAATTGATTCTAACATTGATTACTTCACACATTTCTATTGTGAAATAAGTTCCGGAACGTAAAAACGTCTCAAAAGAATTCAAAACAAATTCTGTACGATATTTTATTTTCTGTTTAGCCAGACACACCCTTTAAGAGAAAATTATGAAATATTTAAAAAGCCCCATACAGTTTTAAATACAGGGGACTATCGAAAAAACATTGATTGTTTGTTTTTGCTTTCTTTCCTCAAAGAAATATGGAATACAATAGTAATAAAATCTTTCGAATCATACTAAAATCATTTAGATTAATCCTAAGTCTTTTCTCTGTGAATTTGATTGTTTTTTAAAAGAGGTTTATCTGTAAAAAAAAGTTAAGTTCAAATTTTATTTGAAAATCCATCAACGCTATCAGAAAATACGTATAATTATGCCAACTTGAACAGCAATAGCTAAAATTGTTATCACAGAAAAAGACTAAAATCCATGTTTATAGTAAATTTGAATTTCTGAATAATCATGAAACATTATTTTTTCAGTGAAGGATGGGCTTTGTCTAACAGATCCAACCCTAATCAGGATTTTCAATGCCTAGGAAACCGTAAAGCAGTTTTCATTGCTTCTGAAATGTGTGTTCGTAAGTATCTATTCAACAGATGTAATTATCAAGTCTTTGATCATCTCCGTTACATTGTTATCTTAGAAAAACCACAAAAGGAATTTAAACTTTCTTTTTAACAATATTTGTATCATTCCAACACAATGGCAAAGACCTTAAATATTTCGAACTAGAATTCTGTTAGATTAGATCTCAAAGGTTTACACCATCAGGTTGCAAAGAATATATAAATACATTAACTTTTAAATTAAAGCTTGGAGGCTTTGTAAGAACAACTTTCAGCAATCTAAGCTCTCCTGCTGCAGCAGTTATACATATATTTATTGTACTTATGTTTTCTTTTGATTTGATTTAATTCTCTCTTGATGAATTTCCAACTGAATCCGAAGAATTGATTATCTGAAATGTTTCAGCGTTCAAATGTAAGGATGCTCCATTTGTACCAAATACAACTGATAAGGTAAACTAAACATTATGGTTAAAAAAAAAACAAATGAAAATAATTTTTAAGATATTTAAAAAAAAATTTTCATGGGAATAACTGATATGATATATATGAATATTGATTATGAAGCCCCTTACTATACAATTTCTGAATTTACAACTATATTAAGGTCTCACCTCACAACAAAAGTAAGCTCAAATGATTTTTAAAAAAAGGCTTTGATCATGATTAAAAATTTGTAATTAACCGAATTTCATTTTAAGAATAAAGCATTTCAAACTTTGTTTGACATTTCCAAAAAAGTAAAAAGTCAATTAAAGATCCAATTTGATTTTACCAAAACACTATTATTATATATAAGACTAGCCCGCGGGTACTCCCCAACATTGCCCAGGTTATTCATAATTACTCCCGCCGTTTACCCGCCCATTGTCTTAGAATCTCAAAACCAAGGTAGGAATATTCCCGTGACTTTCCCTAGTTCCCTCATCTAAAATTGAGGCAAATTGGTCCAGTGGTAAGTGAGTTCAGCAAAATTTGACGAATGATTCTGCTATGGTGAATTTGATGCCGGTGCTCCAACAAATTTTGCTAGATAAAAATTTGACGCTATAATGAGTGTGATTGGACAAACAAACAGACACCCAAACAGGAATTACAACTTTATATATATATATATATTTATATATATATATATATGTATATATTTATATATATATATATATATTTAGATGAGTCATACCTGGAATATGAGATCAACCAACTTTGGAACAAACATAACCTACCAATGCCTAGCTGGGAATGCGATGAAAGACATGAAAGGAAACTGGACAAACATCATTTATAATCTTTGTGGATATCAGGAGAAGGATCAATATGATCCATATTTTCGTTATAATAGCTCTAATCCTTTATCTGCTTGTCAACGTAAGTACTATTTATAAATTAAAACATTCAAGAAAATTACACCAATGACTAGATGAAAAGCTAGAGACGTAGAGTTAGTTGAACCCTTGTGCTTGTGCGCCAGTTCAAGTTGCTGAGAAGTGGTTCAACTATCTCTACAATCTACATGGTTTAATTAATTCTTTTTATTAGTTAAATCTGGTCCTGCAGGAACCCCCAATTCCCATACCTTTCTTTTTTTTAAATAAAATGACAGCAGTTTCTTGAATTATGAAACAAAAAACTTCCTGAGAATTGAGAGGGAAAAATTGCTGCATTCCTTCCACAAACTGCAGCATACTTTAATTTTCTTTGTAAGGGGGTAAAGGGGTGAATGACCTATTAAGATGGGTTCATAGAGTTCCCTATTTCTGATAAATATATAGCTTTTTTCAGCTCATTGCTTGGAATCGTCGTTACCACCTTTACCGGAAAGGTAATCTTTTCTACTCAGAATTTAAAAATTCTCTTGGGAGGGATTTGATGTGGTCTCAACTTTTTTTACCTCTAAATTTGAGCTCTGGACAATTATTGATGTAAAACATGTCTTGACCCTGGACCATGTCAAATGTCCCAGGAAAATTCATCATTATAACTTATCAAGCAAAAAAATCTCGGACTTTTTAATTCATCTATACATTAATAGTTGTTTTCTCCCTAGGGCATCATTAACCTATTCTGGTACAGATAACAGTATAGGACAAGTAGCAAAGTATATTTGTGAACCAGGCTTTGAATTCTCAGGCAAAACAATATAAAGAAGAAAATTTATGACATCTTGAAAATGTTTAAATAAATAATTCAATGAACGACCAAAAGTGGTTCTTTAAAAAATGTAAATATTGGTTCTTGGTCTTTACCCTTTATTAAACATTTTTAGAACTACACAATTTTGTAAAATCCATTAAATATCAAATAAGAAGAAAAAGAAAAATCCAAGAACAAAACAATGTTGAACAAAATAAAAACATGATTTTGATGGTTGTTACTATTTTCAAGTTTATTTTTTCGTTAAAAGATTTTTAGATAAATACAGTGAGAAGAGAACCAGAAAACTCAAACATACTCATTTTACTTCAAAGTGATCTAATCTGTTACAAGAGCAACTTTTCGCTTTGTTATAACATCAAATACAACATAAAAGGATTGAGTCACGGAAGTTCGTAGTAAAATTTGGACTCCGCTGGAGACCACCGGAGGGAATTCATTTTCACTGGAGGGGTTTGAAAAATGCTTTTTTAAAATTTAAAATTTTACGCAGGGTGATTTACATGCCACTGGAGGGATTCAGATATCTTTTCAAGGGGTTTATAAATCCCCTGGAGGGATTCAGATATCCTTCCTAGGGGTTTATAATTCCACTGGAGAGATTTAAATATCTTTCCAGGGGGTTAATAATTCCACTGGAGGAATTCGGAAATCTTTCTAAAGGGTTTATAAATCCACTGCAGGGATTCAGAAATCTCTTCAGGGGGGTATATAAATCCACTGGAGGGATTCAGATATCCTTCAGCTATGGGTATATAATTCCACTGGAATTATATACCCATAGGAAGGATATTTAATCCCAACAGTGGATTTATAAACACCCTGGAAAGATATCTGAATCCCTGCAGTGGAATTTATGCGCAAAGTTTGAAATTGTAAAAATCATTTTTTCAAACCCCTCCAGTGAAAAAAAAATCCCTCCAGTGGTCTCCAGTAGAATTGATATCTTACTACGAACTTCTTTGAGTCAAAAGGATTGCTATAATATCGTTTTCCTATTCCACAGTTTACTGGTTCTTACTGTAGTATTTTCTTCTATTCTTTCCTTATCTCTTATATTGGTCGTTTGCAGAGGCAATAGTTTTAGTCACACCTATACCAACAACTACAACAACTACAACAACTACGACTACAACAACTACGACTACAACAACTACAACAACAACTACAACAACCACAACTACTACCACTACAACAATAACCACAACTACAACAACTACAACTACTACGACAACTATAGACACGACATCAACCACTACAACAACAACTACAACAGTACAACAGCGTGTTCAAAACTTTTGGGGTAAATACAGGGTTACCCACAAAGGATGATCAACTTTAATGACGACCTAAAACTCATTAAAATTAACAATCTAAAAATTTTAATTTAATTTTTGCTATTAATATGGTATTTTAATGGCGACCTAATGGTTAGTGGAAGAAAAAATAAGCTGAAGGGAAGCTGGAGTATAAAATAAAAGATTGAAAAATTTCCTTACAATCTACTCTGTAGTCTCATGCTTTGTGGGTAAACTTGAACCAAAATCAATGTTTCATAAAATTAACTATTATTCATTTTATTATATCATGTCTTGCATATCATGGTGCATTATTATCAATTTTATACATAAAATTCACATCTCGGGGGAAAAAAGAGCCAGTGGGGTCAGTGTTTAATATTTTATAGCTAATCAAAGGTATAAACTAATTAAGGTTAAAATATTTGTTAATCGTTTTATTTATATATTCAATAAATACAGTTTTTGGCTCTTAAAAGAACTGTAGGCATAGTTTTAAGTGCCGGTACCTTTGAATTCTTTATCTGATTTATAATGTGGAAAATATCGTCGTTATTTTAAGTTTAAAAGTATTTAATTCTGATAATTACGCCATGATTTGAAATTTAGAGAAGCTACAATTAAAATAGTTGGTTTTCCAAATTATAAACGTTGTTATCTTATTCATACTTTAATAGGTTTTAACCCTATTTATCCTGAGGGTGGGGGTCAAATTGACCCCCCCCTCCTATCGTTTTTTTGCGATAGCTCAAAAGTTATTTCTAAAAGCACACAGTAATAAGAATACTTGTAGAGTGCTGTCATACCGTGATCTGGGGTGGAGATGAATACCATCGTTCAGATAGCCAATATACTAAAGATTCTGATAACTATATCAAAGTGTAAGTTTTTATATGTCTATGCAGCGAACGAAAACTTTTGCGAAAAAAATATGCGAAAACTATAGTGTTGCAGTTGCAATAATTAATTGCCCAGATAACTTTTTACTACGTTGAAATCTCTGTTCAGCCAGCCATTGTTAAATCTCTACCTGCAATTTCGGCATATATATTGTGCTGCTGGAGGATTTAGAGTTCAGTTCAGTATTGCCACAGATCAACTAGGGAGATTTTACTATGAATTTGGGCAATTGTTTTCTTCCAATATTTGTGAACTTTTTAGCAGAATTTTTGCAAAACAGATAGACTCGAAAAAGGAGAAAATTTCCGGCGAAATAAAAAATTTTCGTGAAAGGATTTTTTCGTTTTGCTGGAAACCCTAAATTGCACTACTTGATGCCGAAGAATCAAAATATTTGAAAAAAATCGTCCAAATTTAATTTCCACAATTCTACAAGCTACATTTAAATGGCTGGAGCCCACTAAGAGATACTATGGATTAGACTTCGGGCTAAAATAGGTTGGGTGCACAGGGCTGCAGCTTTATAGGACGAACAGGCTAGCCAAAAAAACATATAAATAAAAAGTAAACATCATCATTTACAAATAAATCTACTGACAACGTAGAGCATGTGACATTATAGATTGAGAGTATTTAATAGACCATAGAGCTATTTTTGATAGAGATGCATTGTTTTTGTGGACGAAACAAATTTTTTAAAAACAAACAAAATTTTTGGTGAACAATAGTGTCGTTCAGAAATAAAAAAAAACATGGACATGGATTGTTTAGAGATGAACAAACTATAAATGTTCAAAAACGAACGAAAAAACACACATAAACAAACAATTTAAAATAATTCAAACAATCTTGAAAAAACTATCGTTTTTTCTGAATGAACTCTTTTTTTTAACAAACTTTTGAAAAATTATCATTTTTACTGAAGGAATGATTATACTGAACGATCATTAGATCAAATAGAAAAAGGAACAAAATAGATGAAATATTAACAATTTTGAGAACGAACGAAATCAATTTCTTTAACAATTGGGTTGTTCACAAAGGATGAATGAACGAAATGAAAAAAAGAACCAATCTCTTAGTGTTGGCGTAAAAGAAGAAAAAGTAAAAATCAGATATAGTACAAATTTATCGGTCTATCTCTTTTTTTTGCACCCAACATCAAATAAACTTCACAGAAAATAACAACTGACATATTTGGACATTTTTCAGGTCTTCTCAAAGTAATGTGTGGAAAGTTTATCGCGCGGGAAATGGTAATTCCAAATCCACGCTGTCTAGATCAGATACTAACCCACCTCCAGGAATTTGTATAAGTTCGACTAAGCCCTATTGGCAAAATATTCATTTAAATATTTTGTTTTTGTTTATTCTCATCAAATCCTAGGTTGGATTTTCGGCAGAAATATGACTCATGTATAGGAAAATTTTCTTTCCAAATTCAGGCCATAATGTAGGCATAAACTCTTTTATATTTTATATTTAAGCTTTTCTTCTGTATTTTTAACCATTATGTAGACGCAAATAATTTGTTGTTATACTTAAATCTGTGCAAAATGATCTTTTTATAGTGAACTTAATAATTTATCTGTCAGTTTGTCCGCATGAGGCTACTGGCTGGGATAATGGTGCACCTGTTTGCAAAGGTAAATTAATTCTTTGTGCAAGTAACCCATATAGAGATGGATTTTTGAGGTAAAATGCAATCATGTAGAAAATAGGGATTTTTTAGACCAATAATGTGTCTAGGCATTCATACTTTTCATAATTTTTACTATTTGCAGCTTCAAGAAAAAAGAAACGACAGGTAGAAGAATCTACAACTTCAGCAGATACCAGCACTGCTGGAGTAGTTACAACTCTTGCAATAGCTGGAAGTACCACAATATTTGGAACCACCACCACAGCAGATTCCAGCACTGCCGGAGCAACCTCCACTTCCACAATAACTGGGAGCACTACCACATCAGAATCCAGCACTGCTGGATCAATCAACACTAACACAATAACTGGGATCACTGCTGCAGCAGATGTCAGCACTACTGTGGGGGTAGTGACCACAACAGCAACAATAGCTGGAAGCACCACCCCAACAGATATAAGCATTGCAGGAGTAGCTACCACAACATTAATAGCTGGAATTACTACCACAGTGCAGATGGATGCCAGTTCTGCTGGAGTAACCACTGCCACCACAGTAGCTGGAAGCACCACAGCAGCAGATGCAACCATATCAGGAGTAGCTACTACAGCCACAATAGCTGGAGTTGACACATCAATACTAACTGAAAGCACTACTGCAGCTGGAGTTTCCACTACTACCACAATTGCTGCAAGCCCCACTACATTATCAGCCCTAGAACAGCAGCTATTAAGAGAACGAGAAATGACATGTGTATCCTGGCAGGGAGGGGAGGCAGCCTACTGGAAATATGACTATGAAGTTCCACCTGTTTGCAACAGTAAGACTTTTCTTTTCCAAATAAAATCAGAATGCTTAAATGAATTTGGTTATTCTTTAAAATGTACAGTTTAAATTTTCTTAATCTTTTCCAGAGTTCAGAAAAAAAAGATTGAAAATAAAAAGTCGTAATTTTACTGAGGAACCTTATATTTTAAAAATTGATAATAGTTCAATTGTATAGAAGGATAAATATTACAAATCAAAAATAGTTAATATGATATTTGTAACCATAGGAGTAAACTGTAGTAGTGAGGAATTGCCTCATATTGCAAATCCACAATCTGATGTTTCTTTGCACCAGTGGGATAGAAACTTAACATACTTTGAAATACAAATTAGGTAAAAAAAAATTGGTTTTATTATTAGAATAATTTTTTGATAATCTAATTAGATTTAAATTCTCTGAGATACATACAGTTTTGACTGCACATTTAATGACTCCTTAGTCAAAATTTTATGTTAGTGTTCAGAGGCAAAAAAAAATGGGGTACTTCCCATTAATTTATTAATATTTTGCATACAGTTTCAGAAAGAAAACATTTCCTTTTCTTCTAATCTAATTTTAATATATCCAACAACATGTTAGATAAGGGAGAAAAGCTTTTTTTGATGACATTCAATTGGTCATTATTGCCAATGGTTTCTGAGTTTTATAACTAAGAAACCACTGGCAATGCTTAAAACTTAATTTAAACTTTGTACCATTAGCATAAAATGAACAGTCAGGAAATAAAAGTCCAACCCACATGAAATATTTTAATTTTTAATAATTCTTTTTAGATATAAATGTTCTGAGTATGGAAAACAGTTCAAATTAGGCAACGGATCATTTACTCGATATTACACAGTATCATGTCAAGCAAACAAGACCTGGACCTCACAGACTTTTGCTTATCCTTGTGAATGTGAGTTATTTAGGAAGTTTAATCTCATGAAATACCAAATAGATCTTGACAATTACAAAAATGATATTGTTTTAAACACAGAAAATTTAACTGCTACGAAGAAGTAATATTGGTAGAGCTACAAATAATTTACAATAGCATAATCTCTCATAGTCATAGAAATATTGGATATGCCTACATCTTTAAATAGTGATAGCAAAATTGAATATGCATAATCACAACTTTGCTTTTTAATGCAAACCCCAAACAATTGAACAGTTTGAATCACTTTCAATGGCATAAAAGGACTGTAAAGGAAAAATTAAAGTGGTTATTGGCTGAAACCTAAGCATTTTAGGGGTTGAACAAGACCCATTAGAGTTCTATCTGATGTTCCTGTTTCGAGAAAATTGATAAAAAACTGTGTCTTTATATGAAAATCTATATATATAAAATTTTGTTAAAAATAGTAAGTTTTAATAGATTATACTCAGTAAATATGCAACCAATTTGAAAATGACAATATCCCAGAGAAGCATAAGTAACTTAGGTTTGCTCTTATTATTATTTGAATTTAATAATTTTTCATTTTTAATAGATATAATTGACAATTATTATGTCCATATCACATGACCAGAACTCCCACCAATGGCAGTGCAGTATTATTGTCACAAGTCTCCATCTGTATCATGTGACCAGTATACTGCACTGCCATTGGTGAGAGTTTTGATCCTGTGATAGGGACATATAAATAATAATATCAATTATGTCTATTCAAATAATGATAGGAGCAAACCTAAGTTACTTAGGCTCCTCTGGGATATTGTCGTTTTCAGATTGGTTGTGTATTTGCTGAATATAATCTATTTATAACACTATTTTTATACAAAAATCTATAAATACAGATTTTAGTATAAATTTGACACAATTTGACATCAATTCTTGAGGCAGGAACATTAGATAGAACTCTAATGGGTCTTGATCAACTCCTATAATACTTAGATTTCAGCCTGTACTCCCTTTCATTTTTCCTTTACAGTCCCTTTAAGTATTTCTGTGCAAATTATGCCAAATTGTAATATTTAGGTTGGGAATTTTATGTAATTTTCAAGCATATTTTAAATCTGGTTTCCACTAGGGGCTTTGTGTAATCTCCCGCCAGAACCTGATAATTCAACCAATGTTGAATTATTATGGACTCCTGCTAACCCCCCCAGACACAATGAATCTGTTATATACAGGTAATCATATTCTTTTTGAGAAAGGGTGAAAAATCTAAAATTTATTGTTTTTAAGTTGCATTTCTCATGATGGATTTAAGTTCGTTAATAATGAGAATAAGACTTCAATGGAACTGAAGTGTTTGCCAGGAAACAAGTTTGAAAATATCTCCCTTCCTGTGTGTGTTAATGGTAGGATTTTCTATTTCTGATATTTTAAAGTTTCATGAGAATTTATCTTGTTAATCATTCATCGTGTTTCTTTTATTAGTGACATATTGTGATCCAATAACTCTTGAAACATCGGAAATAATATCCAATGCAAGTGGGAACGTAACAGATGGGAGTAACATTAGGTGAATTAAAAAATTCTTTAAAAATATGTGCATGACAATTTTATAAAAATTATTTTTTTTAGTTGGAGTTGTAAAGATCAAAGATATTTGGCAAGATTGAATGGTTCTAATGATAAGCCAACTCTAAATATAGCAGCAACTTGTGATTGGTACAATCAGTTTAATATTACTCCTAGAGATTTGGTTTGTATAATTGATCATTGCGGTCATCCACACCAGGGCATTGGTTCTCATCTACCACCTCCTACAGAAAATGCTTTAACCCTCATAGAAACTAATTTTACAAAAGCACACAATGTTCATTTAGGACATTTTGTGACCTATAAGTGTAAACCTAATGCATATTTTGAAAATGAAGAAATAGATCCAACCATGACAAATACAAGCATTAAATGTTTGGATTCAAATGGTACATACCAAGTTCCTGATAAATGGCCCAATTGCACTGCAACTGTGAGTTGTGGCAAGCCCATAGATCCGCCTATAAATGGTAGCATAGTCTGGCTTAATGGAACAAATAATGAGGTAAAATTGTTCTTAAAAAGCTCAATCATAATCAAAAATTGTTAAGGCTGAAAACTAAATGTTTTATATTTAAGGATACATACAACACTTGGGTGCGGTATTCATGTCAGGATGGTTTGCAATTTGACACCGATGGAATAGATGGAGGGGACTCAAGATATCTCTACTCAAGATGTCAATGGAATAAACAGTGGTCTCCTTACAATACCACACTTCCACCATGCAAAATCACACACTGCATACATCCATATCCTATTCCAGCAGATTCAAATCTAAAGGTATCTATTTTGAAGTTTAGTTTGAACAAGATGTCATCAAATTTGTTTTGTTTCATAGGAAGTTACAAGTAATTGGACGTATATTCGTAAATACAAGCAATATGAATGCAAAAACAAGAGAACCAGTGATAACCTGCCTACCATGTTTTGGGAAACTGATAGAACTAAATCAACATTTTCTATATTGTGCAAAGAGGATGGGACATATGAGTTTGAGAATAAAAGAGAAAACTGGCCAACATGTGTTTCTGACATTAATTGCACAGATTTCCCTCCAGAAATTCCAACAAATCCAGAGTATGAACTTAATAAAGATGATGGTAGGGTTTTGGTCGAGCGCTTAGTTTATCCTCTTCCATCAGATCTAATAAAAGAAACCTTAACTTCAGAAGTTAACAATTCTTTAATACCACGAAATTACAATGTAAAACTTAGGTAGGTCTTAAGTTCTTAACTGGAATATTTTAAATTTAAGTTCAAGGATGGAAAAAGTTTTTAGGATTAAAGAAAACATTTTTAAAATTTTCAAAAATTACAGTACTGAAAATGACTTTTTCTACCTTGAACATGAATTTCTAACTTCTCTGACTTCATTGAAAGCATCAATCATCAGTTATCTAATATTTTTGAGTTAAATGGACACAATTCAAACATTGTTTTAAAAGTACTTTTTTTTAGAGATGGGTGCTTTTGGGTTTTTTTCACTTTGTTTATTTATTGTTAGTGAACAAACCATTTCATTCATTTTTTTAAATAGTAAAAAAATGATATTGTTTGTTCTCAAAATCATTGTTCATTTTCCATATTATTTTGTTCTTTTTCTCACTGAATGATCATTCAGTAAAATTGTTTGTTCAGTGAAATTTGTTGTTCAGTAAAATTTGTTGTTCAATAAAATTGTTTTTTCATTTAAGAAAAACTGAAGTTTTTCAAAAGTTTGTTCACAAAATCGTTTTTTTAAAAAGCTTGTTAAAAAATTGTTTCTAAAACTACATGGCTTAGGAAGACTAAAATCTGATAGTGCACATTAAAGGCTTCGCAGATTAGTTTACTCAGTAAAAAATACTCATTTTTTAAAGTTTTTTCAAATAAACCGTTTGGAAATTATTCATGAATGATAAAGATTGTTGGAAAGATTCTTGATAATTTGTTTTTGTTTTTTAGTTAGCTTTAAAATAATGAGCATTTTTTCATTTTCATCTTTTTCTTAACAACACCATGAGCCAAGAAAAATTTAGTTTGTTCTCAAAAATTTTTCTCATTCTAAAAGTGATGCCATCTTTACTTTGTTGGAAATTCAAACCATTTGTTTGAACATTCAGAGACAACATATTGTATAACATTTTCTCTCCACACATTTAATTTTTAATGATTTTCTGCACACTAAATATTTAAAATTTAACATTAGTGAACCTCCCATTCTTAAACTGCATTAGTAATGATAAGGTATAAATGCGGCGCAGCACGACAGTTTAAGAAAGAAGATGGAACTCCTCAGGAACTTATTACCATGATATGTCAATGGAATAAAACATGGACACCTTCTAATCATCTTTTGGTAAAAAATGCAAAATTTGAAGAAATAAAAAATATTTTGAAAGCTTGCCAAGTTTTGAAATGCAACATAACAATTTTTCATGCAGGAATGTGATTGGTTTGAGTGCTTAAGGCCACCAATACCCCCAAAAGAGTCTAATCTGATGTTAACGGATTGGTTTGGTGAAACCATACCTTTTGGAGGGAAGGCTAGGTATGTGTGTAAGCGAGGTATGATGTTTGAACAAGATCCAGCCCAAAAGGATGTTAAATACACATGCCAGGTTTGCTAATAACTGTTATAAAAAATTCCATTGAATTTAATTATATAATATTTAAATAAAGTTCAATAGTCATTCACTTATATAACTGGGTCAAGGCATTAATTGTGTACTAATTAAACTTCTGTATTCAAAGTTAAAGGGAGTGTTCTCAATAAATGAAAGTGTGTATAGGCTTAATGCGATAAAAAAGCACTTTTCATTGCTACTAATCTTACTTCTATCTGTTGTGCCTTTCAATTTTCGCGAACACTCCCTTTAACTTTGCCATAAAAATAACAAACTTAGAATTGGGGAATAGTTGTTGTAGTAAAAACTACTAAATAAACTGTAAGTAAAGAATGGTAGAAAATGATGATAATTATTTTTGGTGCAAACTCATTACATTGCAAGAGGAGATGATGAATCTTGGTATCACATCTGATGCTTTTAAAGAATAACTAATTTGAATAGAAACATGTCTTCACTGCAGATTAAGATAAAACTTTCTTCTTTAGGATGGAGTTAACCCCAAGTTAAGAGGATTTTTTAATGTGCCCTCTGAACCTTCAGACTGGCCAAGATGTGTAGATGGTAATGACATTATATTGAAATATGTAAAATAAAATTAAAATTAACTATTTTTGTTTTAACAACTTCCCACCAAACCTGCATTTGACTGACTCAATTATCTTATTTGTTTTTCAGCTCCACTTTGTCCAACACCAGTGGCAGTTCCTATTGAGGGTACAATGAAGCATAATCCTGCTGTTTTTAAAATTACTCCTGAGACTTCATGTGCTCTTGATGGTGATGTTATTCAAATACAGTGCCACTCTTTCCTAGCCATATATGTGCAATCAGCCTACTTTGGAAGATACAAAGATAATGTGAGAAACCTTTGCAATAAGACCAAAGGTAAATAATTCAGAATGAATATGTATAAAAGCAGGCGGTGGTTCATTGACATTGTTTGAAATTATTTAGGAACAGATGCAAGAGCCCCTGGGAATGATTGCATCAATAAAACTATAATTAACATGTTTAAATCAGAATGCCATGGACAGGTTTGTTTATTATGGACAAGATTATTAGTTTTATTGGTGTGATTACTTACTTAAATATACTTGGATGCGTGAAACTAATTCTAAAGTGGTTACCAAAGTTTATATTATTTGCTCCGTTCTTGTTGATTTGGAGAATGAGAGACAAGTTATAGTGTGTTATGGATAATTAGTTATAATTTTAAAATAATATCAGAAAGCTTAATATTAGAAAAAAACATAGTGCAGCTTCTGGTTTTTTAATTCCCATCTTATACCTTTTCTTTTTTAGTTTAACTGCTCTCTAAGCTTTCCAGCAGATGCATACCCCCTCTCAAGTGATTGCTTAGCAATGAGAAGAGAAATAGGATATTCGCACATATGCGGTTTGTTTCAATTTCTTAATTTCTAAACTTTTACTGGGAATAAGAGTTTTCCATTTTAGTTGGATGCTTTCCTTGGCATGACTTGCTTACACCTGACAGCTGTGTACATGACAGCCTATTTTACAATGAATGGGAATCCCCTGAAGTTCTTGCAGCAAAATCTGAACCTGATAAAAAGTCTTTGCTGATTATGAAACTGTATCAGAAACTGAATAGTTCAGTGCACAATCTTGTTGATCTTAGCACAAGGTATTATTCTCTTCAAAAATAATACACATTTACAATCAAACAAATTTTTAAAGAGCTTACCTCTTTCTGTTATTCAAAACTCTAAGAGACATTTCATTTTAGGGACATTAATGGTGATACAGAAAGTCTTTGTGGGCTTAGTGCTTTGTACATGGCCCTAGAAAATACCATTTTAACAAAATCCCAGCTTGCTACCTTTAGCTATTCTAATCTACGTCAATCAATCTTTAAAGAAATGAATTTAACAGAGGACACAACAAAAACTGACAAAGATCTACTAGAAAAATATTTCTCAGGTAAATAAAGGAAACAAGCATTTTTCAAAGGGCTTACATCCCAAGTGAATAATTCTATAAAAGAATTTTCCCATTTTTTCTTCAAGGTGATTGTTAGAAGTTTACATAAGGGTTTAAACATATATCAAGCCATGCATGATGGCTAAAACTTTCTCAAGACTCTACCACTAGGAAATTGTCATGGTCACTTAGGAAACTTTTATAACTAGAAATTCTATTTTATTTATTACTCTTTGTTAAGCTGTCTGCAATGGAAAGGGTCAAGTTAATGTAAGAACCAAACCACTTGATTTCAATACAACTGAAACTACTGCTGTTGAATCAGAAAAAGAAATTGCACTCAGAACATTTGGTTCATCTTTAACGTAAGTTTTTAGATCTTATTGGGATTATTTACTGGAGACCTTTAGATTTGGTAGCAAGCAAGAAAAACTTATGTTACAGCAACAATTCATTGGCTAGCCATTGAAAGGAACCAATGATCTCAATAGTTATAAATTTCAAATTATTTGAGAAAAAAGTCTGAATAGGAAAAAAATATGTTAATTAATTATGTTATAGATATGAATGTGGAATTGCAAGAGAATTCAAAGATCCTTCAAGAAAATCCTTGTACAAGCAGCGAATAATAGAATGCAACTGGAATGGTACCTGGACTCCTGTAAATGCTCTTGATAAATGTGTCTGGACTGCTTGTCTGTATCCTCCTGAGGTATATACTTTCAGCCATCTTTCTAATTTCTGTAAACTTTAATATTTCAGCAATCAATTGTTGCATATTATTTTTTTTTAACTTTGTTTTTTCATTTTCCTGGATTGGTTCATAGATTTAAACAGTGAACTTGTGTAATAATAATTACAATTGACACTGACATGGTATAAAATTGTTTTACATTATTTTTTTAGCCACCTGAGTATACAGGCTTGAAATCTAACTGGAATGGAAGCCAGGTGCCTTTCCTTAGTTCTACAGGATACTCTTGCAAATCAGATGATCTTTTCTTTGAAATTGATAAATCTTTAAAAGTATGGAATCTTACTTGCCTAACAGATGGTTCTTTTACACCCCCTAACTGGCCAAGTTGCTTCAAAAGTAAGTAAATTTATTCAAGATTACCAAACTTAGATTCAGAGCATTTATTAATTTTATGAAACCAGGTGTGAACTGTACTCAACCTCCTCAGATGCCACCTGCTGGGACTTGGGAATGGAACGGAAGCTACAAATATGGTACTAGAATAAAATATAGTTGCGGACCGTATGGTAAGTTTGAGTTGGAGGGTGGAAAATTGACAAATGAGATCTATTCTGAATGCTCATGGAACAAAAGTTGGACTCCAGCAGTTCTCCCAACCTGTGTAGCTACTGCATGTCCAGATATACCCTTCCCTCCTAAAGAGATTGGTATGGTTTATGCTCCTGATAATAAGAACAATATGACTCTGGTCTCAGGTACAATGTTTAATTTAGATTTAATAATATATTTCTATCCTAAATCTATTTTTAGAATTTACCGTCTACAACCCAACTTTGCCAAAGTCTGTAAAATTTCCACAGAATGTTCCTGGGAAAAATCAACTGTTGGTTGAGGGCAAAATTCCATCGAAATCCAAAACGGTATTAGTTCAGCCACATAAAATGCATGGTTTTCTAAAGAATTTATAACTTCACAAAGTAATTTTTAGAAACTCGAGATCATAATGCATGGGACAGGTCCAGGGGAAGAATCACTTCATCTTCTTATTGATCCTGAACTAGATTACATAAAGCGATGGATAGTTGCTCAGGTCTGTTGATTTTTATGCATTTATAATATGTGCTTTAAAAAAATGTAAAATCATAGATTGCACATAAAAAACTTCCAATTTTAAAAATACATTAAGAATAAGAACCTTGGAAAGCTTAATATTTGTTAAAGGGTACTACGGTTTATGAAATTGGAGCTCCATTAGATGGAACTACTATTGACTTTGATGAACCATTTATCATAAAGTAAGTGAGCAGTGATATATAATCCTAAAAGAAAAATATGTCACATTTAGATTTACCAAGACTGATCTTAAATACTGATTAGATTAAGTCTGGTTTGATTAGGCTAAGCTGGGATGAAGATGGTTGGATATTAAAGGTGAATGATGAGGTCCCCTACCCTCATCTCCTTCATGTTATCCCTTTGTCAAATGCTACTTCTGCAGAGATCAGGGGGTCTGCACTTATTAGGTTTGTTTTCTCCACATGCTTAATACAGTTCATATGAATCTCAAAAGCAATAATGTTTAGAAATTCACAGTCTTTTGAAATATTGGAAAGACAACACCTTGGAATAGCTTCAAAGTGTCTTAATAATAGATAAAAAGATAACACAGAGAAAACACTGTCTTTTATTTACCATTTTTGGATAAACTAAAAAATACTGTATTTGTATAAATTTTCAAAAGATAGATAACTCTTTACCTTAAAGATAACGCCATCTTCATGGAATAGCTGAAAACATAACACCGTCTTTTGAACACTTTTAAAGATCACACAGATTTTGGAATAATTTGTTAACACCCACTTTGGTTTAATCTAAACCACCCTCTGATTCAGTTTTGTCGGGTTTGTATCTAATGGAGAAAGTGCAGCTCCACCAGTAGGGTTTAATCTAACCTTCTCCTGTCCCCCTGGCATGGTGTTTGATGAGGATTGGTTTGCTATTCCTTTTGTAATGATGACCTGTCAGGTAAAGGTTGCAATGAATGTATATTCAATTAAATTCACTTTAGGTGATAATTCATTTGAGCAATGAGTGATATTTGGTCAGATAATTTTCTTTCAGTTATTAGCAGAACTTTAGTGTAAAATGCCACAAATCCACAATGCTTGATCTCAATATTTACTGAGACAACTTTTAAATTTGAGAATAAGGACTTGATCAAGGAGGAATTAAATCAATTCATTAATCCGTAGTTCTGAAGTTTGAAATAAATATTTGAATAATTTTAACACAAGTTAAATTTCAATAATAAGTTAAGAGGGATTTAGAAGATTTAGATGGAGGAAAAAAAATTATTTTAAAAAAGGGATTTTTTTGAATTAAAATATCGTGTTTTTATCCAATGGTTGACTGTACAATAAATATCTCCTTTCCAAGAATTTAAAAATATGAAAAACCAATCAATCAATCAATGCTTCATTTATTTACAGAAAGATGGTGCTTTTGACAATATTCCAGACTGGGATAATTATAACTGTGTTTATCGTAAGTATTTACCATATATGCAGGGTTTCCTTAACAAATTGTTCATGAAATATTTTCAGACTTGAATCAGAATTTTTCCAGTGCTCTTTTTATTAAATATCACTAAATTAATTTTTGTTTGAAATTATTAGGAATTTAACTTATATAAATACTTTTAAAAATAGAAATTTCCGTTTGATAAATTGCACTAGGGAAACGGAATATTCGGAAGTTTCCAATTTGGAAATCTTGGGAATTTTGTTTAGCACATAACTCTCACAAAAAGATATTCATTTTGGTGTACTGTACTGTCCCGTTTTGCACGTTACTGTCTGTCATGCAGACATTTTGCTTTAGTTATTGTAAATTCAATTCAAATAATTAAATGTGAACAGGTTGTGTGTACTGTAAGTCTATTGTAAAACTTGCTTTAGCTGCCTAAAATTCAGTCCAGCAGTTCAGGAGATTAACCAATTATAATAATTACTACAATAGGTTTTTGTTAGAAGGGAGCAAGATATATTTTGTTTATAAATACATGAATAAATTTAGATCAATATAATATATTTAATTTCAGCTACAACAACAGAATGTTTTGATTGTACAACAACAAGTAAGATTTACATATTTATTTTTAAAATTACAAATGACCTAACAACTAAAATTTCAATAGTATTTTTAAATATGTTTCCTCTTGAATAGATACATATCTAATATATATCATTTGGGATAGAAACATTTCTAATATTCTTCCTCTTGGATAGATGCATTTCTGATATTCTTCCTCTTGGATAGATATATTTCTGATATCCTTCCTCTCTGATATCCTTCCTCTGGGATAGATACATTTCTGATATCCTTCCTCTTGGATAGATACATTTCTGATATCCTTCCTCTTGGATAGATACATTTCTGATATCCTTCCTCTTGGATAGATACATTTCTGATATCCTTTCTCTTGGATAGATATATTTCTGATATCCTTGAGTTTAAGAGCATAGTCGACGTTCAAAATCATGAATTTGGGTGGGTACGTTTCCAGAATCGGTTTTTTCAAATTTTTAAATATACGACGACGAAAAATAAAGTAAAAATTTTACAATAAACTAATTAGATGGTAAGGAACATATTTCTCAAAAGAAATTGGTCAATATATCAATGCTAGAATCAATAATTTTGTTTTCATCATTATATTGAATTTCTTATTTTCTTTGAATTTATTCGCAGATTTCTACAAATTCTTCAAATGTGGTATTTTCAATTATATTCCAGAAAATCTTTGTGAAAAATGAGAAACTAGAATAATGAGAAAATAGAAACTAATAATTGAATAAGATTACTTATTTTTGATGATAAGATTAATTTTTATTTTCTCAAACTGTTCCTGAACACCGAATTAGTTTACTGTAGGATTTAATTTACATTTTCTGTTGCCGTTATTTAATAATTTAAAAAAAATAATTCGGATAACGTATCCACCTAAAAGTACGATTTTGAACGTTGACTTTGCGCTCAAACTCAGGATTTACAGATCTTTAAAAAGTTTTATATGTCTCAACTGAATTCTAAAGAATTTGTCCACAACACTGCATACTATCTACCTTTCATAGCTGGTCTGTCCCTTTAAAGTGTTCTCTCATTAAGGGGCACTTTTTCAAATTGAAAAAAATATGTTGTTAAAAGCAGAAACCTTTCATTGATCTAACACATTGTTTTTAAATATTTTGGTTAATTTATTTAAAAACTGTTGTACAAAGTTGTAAAATTTTACAAGTTACTAATAATAACCTTTCATTTAAGATTGACTTTGATTAATTCATTGACGGATTGATTTATAAAAATCATAAATAATTCAATTAATTGAATGATTGACTTAAATATAAATATATACAGTACCCGACATTTGAATTCGCCGGTACATAATGCTCTTTTGATTTACCTTTGTTAACACTAGAACTCTATTCACTTATCAACAAGCTGAGATAGACAGCTTTCTAAAATGTACTTTGAATTTTCTGTACGTTTTCTGTAAAGTTTTCTAATGTAAAATCAGAGTAAAAAGTATTATGTCACCGGCTAGTTTTTAAGTGGTTGTCAAGAATTGTTTCAAAGAAAGGCAAATCGTCACCTTCATCAAGTAACTTGGAAAGGTAACAACCTTTAGGAATTGAAAAGAGTCGTTAGAGACCTTTCTATGTCTCAAGATGGGCAATCAGACATTACCTGAAGAACTTGGCCCACAGCATGCCCAGGAGGATCCTGGAGATAATCAGGAGGGATGACTCGATACTAGCCGTTTTGTATTTATGTATTTTTTTATATATCAATTGGATTACCTTTACACTATAATTTATTTAAGACACTGGTCAACTCTAATGTCGGGTACTGTATATAATATATCAAACCTTTACACTATAATTTATCTAAGACAGGGGTCAACTCTAATGTTGGGTACTGTATGTACTATATCAAACCTTTACACTATAATTTATTTAAGACACTGGTCAACTGTATGTACTATATAACTGAAACGTAAAACACAGATTATTGCTAAACCAAATTGTTTCGTATTTTAAACACTCCTTGGCAGCACGAGTTGGATCGGAAAAAGTACAAAAGTATATAATTTATATATTTATTGATTGAGGGACAGACTGATCAATGTATTGATAAATTGATTTGTTTCTTAACTGATTGATTGAAATTGAAAGAAATTGATTGGATTTATGCATGAATTGATATTTAACATAGATGGATCGATTGATTAATTGATTGCATGAATTGATATTTAACATAGATGGATCGATTGATTAATTGATTGATAAAATATATTTTCTTTAAGATTGAAGTAATCAAAAGGTAATAATTGAATGTTTAAAGTTTATATTTATTTGCGTATAAAATCTATGTTTGGGGTTGATTGAGGTAACTTTTATAAAGAAAAATTAGTTTCCAGGCAATGCTGGGTTTTCAAGCTAGTGTAAGTACATTGATGTTTTATATCACATATGTCATAACATAGAAATATATGGCTTGATCTTCAATTCTGATCTTTAGAAACGTCAACTTTTTAGATCAAAATTTGATTGAACAAATAATTGACACTGCTAACACTGTAAACTATAAAGTATTATGTATTAAGGAGGGGGGTATTCAGGAATTTTTCCAGGCGTGGGTCATAAATTTTTTCCTGTTAAGGGGGGTGTCTCAGCACCCATTGGGGCACAAGAACCCTCTGGAAATCCTATATTTCACTGATCCAGGGGGGTAATATAGCCTCCCCCTAAATACGCTTCAGGTATTAATGCATTACAGCTTTAAATTTTTTCTTTTCTGTTCTAAATGTGATGTCAAATTTATCATCATTATTCTGTAAAATTAGCTGTAATTGAGGTTATTAATTGTTCAGGTTTATATTTAAAAAAATTTCATAACTGTATTCTGTCAAAGTTTGCTCTTAAAAACTTTTCAATATTCTTATTTCAAGAGAAAATTTAATCAAAACAAATCAAAAAACCAATTTTTTTCGTTCTCTTAGGGTCAAACTTTGGCTGATGTAAGAGAAGCAAATGTTTAGAATAATTTATTTTGACATTTTAAGAAAGTTTACAGAATTTTGTTTACATTTGACCCTCAAATCGAACCAAAAAAAACTTCAGCTGTATAAATAAAGAAAATTGTAAAAATATTTTTGTTTGTTTTAAAAGTTTCTAATAACTAATAACTAACAAACTGTCAAGATTATATTTCAAATGTTAAAGGGACTGTCAAGATTATATTTCAAATGTTAAAGAGACTGTCAAGATAATATTTATAATGTTAAAGAGACTGTCAAGGTTATATTTCAAATGTTAAAGAGACTGTCAAGATTATATTTAAAATTTCAAAGAGACTGTCAAGATTACATTTCTGATGTTAAAGAGACTGTTAAGATTATATTTCAAATGTTAAAGAGACTGTCAAGATTATATTTCTAATGTTAAAGAGACTGTCAAGATTAAATTTCAAATGTTAAAGAGACTGTCAAGATTATATTTCTAATGTTAAAGAGACTGTCAAGATTATATTTCAAATGTTAAAGAGACTGTCAAGATTATATTTCTGATGTTAAAGAGACTGTCAAGATTATATTTCTGATGTTAAAGAGACTGTCAAGATTATATTTCAAATGTTAAAGAGACTGTCAAGATTATATTTCAAATGTTAAAAAGACTGTTAAGATTATATTTTAAGCGTTACAGGGACTGTCAAGATTATATTTCAAATGTTAAAGAGACTGTCAAGATTATATTTCAAATGTTAAAGAGACTGTCAAGATTATATTTCAAACGTTAAAGAGACTGTTAAGATTATATTTCAACGTTAAAGAGACTGTAAGATAATATTTCAAACGTTAAAGAGACTGTTAAGATTATATTTCAAATGTTAAAGAGACTGTCAAGATTATATTTCAAATGTTAAAGAGACTGTTAAGATAATATTTCAAACGTTAAAGAGACTGTTAAGATTATATAAATTACTTTACCCTAATTACAATCATTTGTAGCAGGACCTATCAAGTAAAAAAGGGATGTTTTATAAAGATTTTGCCCTAGGGGGAAATTACTTCTATTTTAAAGAATCTATTTACATATTTCCAAGCAAAGAGGAAAAAGAATCTTCGATCCACGGTGAGAACTCCTGGAGACAAATCAAGTATTTATATTATATATTATTAGTATCATGTGCGAATTCATTGTGTCTAGCAACATGGGGCTAGATATTTTCAATCGTTTGTTAAATATAATATTGTGGAAGACGATGCCTGGCCGCATTAAACAAATCTCACAAGATTCAACGGAATGAGATAGAACGGATACGGGGCATTGTACTGAAAAACATCTATCTATGTGATATCGATATTTACTCAAGTTCTGAACCCTCTAGTAATAAGTTATAAGAAATATATATACTGGAAGTACTTTATGCGTTTCATGAGAGTTTGACTCACGTCCTCTATAATATTTCTGTTTTGGTATTTAATTTGGTTTGCCATTTTTGGAGAAAAAAAACTGCACAAAAGTCGTTCTTTTCAGAACCCGAAAATTAACCTCAGCTGCATAATGCTGGAAACAAACACTTGCAATGAAATTTTAATATCCTGGGCTACAAAAACATAAAAGTGGTCGAAAATGGCTTGCAACAATTTAAAGTTGGTTCGATCTCATTATTATATATTATATATGTTATTATATTCATAATCAACTGCTATAGATTTTTATTTAGTGCTTTACACCGGTGTCACATTGTAAAGTGTCCCGGCATGAGATAATGCCCGGGTGCTGGATTTAGTGCTTTACACCGGTGTCACATTATAAAGTGTCCCGGCATGAGATAATGCCCGGGTGCTGGATTTAGTGCTTTACACCGGTGTCACATTATAAAGTGTCCGGGCGTGAGATAATGTCCGGGTACTGTATTTAGTGCTTTACACCGGTGTCACATTATAAAGTGTCCCGGCGTGAGATAATGGCCGGGTACTGTATTTAGTGCTTTACACCGGTGTCACATTATAAAGTGTCCGGGCTTGAGATAATGTCCGGGTAAAGTATTTCGGTCTTAAACCATAAATTTAAAAATTTCTGAATAAATTTAATACGTCGTAGAAACGTTTAATACATCTTAAATGAATCCTAAAAAGTTTGTCCACAATACTACATATCTAGTTCAACCACCATACATTGCCGGTCACTCCCTAA